GTATCAAATATTTGTTGATTAGGTAACAATTATTGTCATTGAGTATTAATCACACCTTCACATTTCCACAATAATATAGACAAATGTACATACACAAAATAATATACAAACAAAATCACAAGGGAAATAAAAGAAGAGAAAAAAGGAAAGGTTGCTCATACATTATCTCAATCTTATACTCAAACTTTTAACAAAAAGCAATGGCTGTATATTAATAAATTATAAATTTACACTACACTTTCAAAAGAATTAAATGATTTTTTTGAACAATTGTCCAATTCATTATGTTATATTTTGTATTTGTTGCACATGCATCAATAATTGAAAAGGCTAATTTAAAACTTCTAATTAATCCATCTATATTTGGTAAAATATTTTTTCTCCTACATAAATAAACATATTTCTTTATCTCTAGACATAGAATATTGTACTTTGACTGGCTTTTTTTTGTATAACCTAATATAAAAGTTTGACAATCAATATCAAATAAAGCATCATGATTCCTAACAATTTTAACAATTTCTGTAATCAATATTTTGACAAATGAGCATTCCCAAAATAGGTGTAACAATGTTTCATGTTCTGATTTACAAAAAGTACACATACTTGTAACTGATAAATTCATTTTCAAAAGAAGGTAATTAGTAGCTAATATTCTATGTGTTAGTCTTGTCTGAAACAATTGCAAGTAAGAATCATTGGTAATGTCAAAAACCCAACTATGTATTTTATTCCAGTCAGATTGACTTAATTGAAAGCAAGTGTTCCATTTAGTCTGACAAGTTGGAATATCATCATTTTTTATGTATATATTATACATGTCTGATGTACCTTTAACACAAAGTAGTACAGGCTTTAAATAACAACATATAATGGGAGAATAGAAAGCAATTTTATAATTATCACATAACTTTAAACTTAATACAATTCTGTATTTCTTGACAGCACTTGTAATTAATTCATAGTAAATGAAGTTTACTTTAATACCTAATCTTGATTCCAATTCATTCCTTTCAAGGAAAATACCATTCACATTCATAATATCTTTGATAAACCTTATATCTTTATCATACCATGTTTTTATAAAAATAGGTTTTCTATCCATCAAAATATATTGGTTACAGAACAGAGGCATTTCTAACAACATTTCCATAGAAATAATCGGTGTTTTTTCTACAAATTCTACATAAGCACCTCAAACATCTTTCCAAAATGAATTTTTCAAAATATTATATATATATGCTGTATATAACTTTCCACAATTAAATAGCGTCTTAATATCTAAAGAGTTATCTAAAATAGTGTAACATTTATCACATTCAGATGATACAATTCTTCTTAACCATGAAAGTTTTAAACTTTTCATGTAAGCACATACATCAATCATTTTAGACCACCATTTACATATTCTTTCACCAATACAGAAGATTTAATCTTTGGTGTACCTTGCCACACAAAATCATAAAACATATTACTTATTTCCTTTAACATCTGAGAATTATGATTTGGAAGTGATATAAACCAGTTAGTTAATAAAAGAAGTAACAGTGACTTTACAACAGTTATTCTACCAATAGGTGTTAAAGCCCTTCTTTTCCAACACTGGATATATTTTTTGATAATGTGTAAATTACTTCCTTCTAGTTACTTCACAATATTACACATTCAAATGCATTTTCAAAATTTTCAAGAAAACCTTGAATCTTGAGGAGTGCTGCTTTAAGATAAAGTTTTAAATGCCTTTTCGAAAATTATATATATAATATATAATTGTGAAGTATGTCCATAAGATAAACATGAGATGTGCTTAATATAAATATAAACATCTTGGAGCCATTGTAACCACTTAAGAAAAACATAAGTTGATCTCTTTAAGAAAGTATTTTATCACAGAAATAATCCCATTGAAACTATATTATTTGATGGCCTACGTGAAGTGTTGCATTTTATAAACTTTAGCAATTGCAAAAAAAAAAATAATATTTTTATTCTTTAATTGACGATTGATTTATTTTACAGTTAAGATGAATTGTTATTATAGTCAAAGTATTTGTTTTTGAAACTGCTTGATTATATGCGTGTTATCTGCGTTTTGAATCGACATTAAGCAATAATACCCATTTTAAATATTTCAAAGCAGCATCAACATGCAAAATTCAAGTGAATTTTAGCGCAATACAAAAATGAAATTTATTTGTTTTCTAGTTTGTTTGCACTAAAATGCACTTTAGTATCTTCAAATTAAGAGTATTCAGTAATATTCCCGTAAGAAGTGTATGTGAACTTCCTGCCTATGAGAACAAATGCGATGTAAATTAGGTAGCAGGAATATTTCAAAATAATTGATATATAATGAGAGGAGATGACCATTAAATATGATATGGGTATTTAGAATCAAATTTGTTCATTAAATAGGTATGACTTCTTCTATATAGTGAATTCAGTTAAGGACCCATAAAACTGCCCACCATGCAATTCTCTACAGTATATTTACATGTTTAATGTGCACATTAACTTATGTAAAAATAACTTTTGTTTGTAAACGTTTGTGGTGGTTTTTGATTTATTACTTGCTGTTTCCTTGTGCAGATATGATATGTATCATTTGTACTTCGCCTTTATTCAGAACTTGGATAAACATTGGTATATTCTATATATTGTTTAGCAATTCTTTTAATCCCAAGCAATAAATGACATATTTAAGAAGATTTGGTCAAGTATATATATTTAAAATATAAAATATAAAATAATTAATATGTTAGTATTTTCTAACACTTAAAACACTTAGATAATGCATCGGGCTATTTGTAAGGGTCTGAAGAAAACAAATGAAGATTGAGCTGTTTGTGAATGAGGGTCTTTCAAGTGCTCTATTAGCTCATACCTTTACCTTCAGTTGTATGATTTATTTATTTGAAAGTCTTAAAGATCATTCAAACTTCTTATAAAATCCATATGTACCTTCTTTTCTTAATATACGGCATTTAAACATTTTAACCTCTAGAACAGAATGATCATATGGTTTTAGTGCCAAAGCTAAAGTCATTAACGTCGGTCGCACATTTACATCCATGTTTCGTGTGGTGACATATCAACTCTTTTTCTTTGATATTCAAATTGTAAAGTTAATATAACTTACATGCTTTCATCTAGTTTAGTGATCTTGGAATGTGATACGTATATGTCGAAGAAAAGATGAGAAGCCCGAATAACTAATACATCGCGAAATGGCTTGTATTATATCTACATAGTTGTTTCCAATTACTTCTTTGTTTCAACGTATACAAATTTATTTATCGAATTTCTTATAAAAAAAATGAGTGCAGTTCTTTACTTAAGAAAATGCAAACCGATGACTAAGATGATGTGAACTTTTTATAAACGTATTATTGTAAAGCAGTTGTTTCATTTAATATATATTAATTATCATTGAACATTAATATTGTCCCTACAATGTATTTCAGTCTAAACTTACAAATACAAATACAAATACAAGACATTTATATAGCGCAAAAATGTATTAAATATTCGATTGCGCTGTACATTGTTAAGACTATATACACATATGCTTGATCAAGACACTCCCAAACCCAGTATCGATGGCACAGCCAATCTACAACTCTAGTTGAAAAACAGTCCAAACAAGTATGTTTTAAGTTTGGCCTTAAACTGATTTTCATTGGTAATGTCCTTCAGATAGTCTGGCAATGAATTCCACCATTTAGGTCCCACAATGGCCAAGGATCTATCAGCAAGTTTTGAATTTGTTGATGGTATATCAAACCGAATGTGGCTAGATGATGAGGATCTCAGTCTTTTCCTGTACTGACTCTGGCATTTAGTGATCAATTTACGAAGATACAATGGAGCGGTGCCATTTGCAACACGAAACACAGTCACAATAACTTTGTACATGATTCTTGCTCGAATTGGAAGCCAGTGGAGTGATTTAAGAATTTCAGCACTGGATTGATAGTAAGCAGCTCCAGTGACAATTCTAGCAGCATAATTTTGCACACGTTGTAATTTATCAAGTTGATAGGCTGGAATATCAGCGAATAATCCATTGCAAAAGTCTAAATGTGAATGAATCAAACCGTGAACAAGGATTTCTGCAGATTTCTGAGTGAGATGTTTTCTGATTGCTTTCAAATTTCTTAACTGCATGTGTGCAATCTGACACTTCTTTTGAATATGGATGTCAAAACTTAAAGTGCTGGTCATCTGTACTCCAAGGTCTCTCACATTGTCAACACAGTTGACTTCGACCCCACCAACATTGACACTTGAAATGTTCAATTTCTTCAGCTGATGTCTTGTACCATAAATGATGATTTCTGTTTTGCTATTGTTCATTTTTAACTTAAATCTAGTCATCCATGACACAATATCATTAAGACAGTCAGTTAATTTTTGGCGAACGATTTCTTCGCTGTGATGGTCACCAGCTCTAATTTTAAATGCCACTTTATGATCGTCTGCATATCCATACAAATCCGCCGGATATTTCTGGACTATTTTGTTAAGGGCAGCTATATAGAGAGTAAATATCACCGGTCCAGCACAAGAACCCTGGGGAACCCCGAACCTCAGTGGCTCAGTATCCGATGAAGACTGTTCAATGACTACTTTCATATCTCTGTTGGTTAAATAAGATTCGATCCACTTTAATGGAATACCATGTATGGCAAAGTCTTTCTGTAGGATTTCAAGTAATATTGGTATATCGATAGTATCGAAGGCGGCGCTTAAATCAATCATTACAACTATTGTCACATGGCGGCTATCAGCTGTTTCTAGCAGATCACTGTACATTTTCATCATAGCAGACTCAACACTGTGAAATTTACGGTATGCACTTTGGTAAGATGGTAACAAATTGTTGGACTCAATGTGGCTTGAAATTTGGTTCATTGCAGCTTTTTCAAGAATTTTCGACAAGAATGACAGGTTTGATACAGGCCGATAGTTTTTCAATTCTAAGGGAAGGCCTTTCTTTTTCAAAAGGGCTTAATAACAGCGCTCTTCCACGTCTCTGGAAAAACACCAGAAGACAATGACCGATTCACGATTTCTGTCACAACAGGTGCAATCAAATGAAGATTTTCTTTCAGCTTTGGTGTTGGCATAACGTCCAACTCACATGTTGTTGTTTTTGATTCACTCACAAGTTTGATTATGTCTTTTTCATTTAGTGGTATAAATTTGTTCATGATATTTTCACTTGATGGTACATCAGATGCCATAATACTATCAATCACTGAAGATGATGTTTCTGTGTTTATGTTATCCAGATCATCACGAAGTTTAAGGATTTTGTCACTAAAGTAACGCAAGAAATCGTTTGCGAGTGCCGTCTCACTGGTATGAGGTGGAAGTGGGTTATCTTTCGAACGCCCAAGCAAGTCTGAAGTCACGCTATATAACTTCCTCACATTCCCTTCAGCCTCTCCGATTCTACTCTGATAGAACCCATCCTTTGCTGATGCTATTGCCGCAGTATAGGAGTTTCTTACATTATTGTACACTATTTTTGTGAGATCTGACCTGTCCTTTAAGTATATTTTCTCTATTGATCTTTTGTACTGTTTTAATTGCTTAAGATATCCAGAGTACCATGGAAGTTTGGGTCTAAAAGTAATTGATCTTTCTTTCAATGGAGCATGTTTACAAATTATATCAGATGCAGTCTTTGTGAAATCAGACACAAGTTCATTCACGGTAGATGATTTTTCTGCTAAACTGTTTAACTCTTCAAGATCGGCTTCTAACAAGTTCTTCGACACACATTTCCAGTTACGTGATATGATGTTTTTTGTAACCAAAGGGGGGCAGAATTGTTGAATATTACAACTAACAAAACAGTGATCAGAGATGTAATAGTTAGACTGAAGATTGTTTACACTAGCAAGTTTGTCTTCCTTTTTTGTGATGATCAGGTCAATGATATGCCCACTAGAATGAGTTGGAGTATTCACATGCTGAACAAGTCCATATGATTTCAAACATTGTTGGAATTGCTTGGTGTAGCAGTCTGATTGCATGTCCATATGAATATTGAAGTCCCCAAGAATTACCATGGACCTAGATTGAGATAATACTTGTTCTAAATATTCAGTGAATTCAGTCATGAATGTAGCTTGAGTGACCGGGTGTTTTGCAGAATATGGCGGTCTATAAATGCCAACGATTCTAAGTATGAATGTTTGGATACATATTTGCCATTCAGCACATTCAAATGATTGATACGATTTGCTGGGTAGGCTTGACACTTTCAGGTTATCTCTGTATAGAAGGCCTATTCCTCCACCACTACGATCAGGCCTGGGTACATCATCAAAGCAGAACCCTTCCTGAGCCAGTTCACCCCTAACAACATCATCACCATCAGTCTGTAGCCAAGTTTCCGTAATTAAACAAAAGTCAATATTCTCTTCAAGGATATGCTGGAGAAGATCTGCCGATTTATTCCGTATAGATCTTGTATTAACTGTGGCAAGTTTCATTTTTCTCTGTCTATGGACATTTTGTATGTATGTATGATCAAGTTTAATTTGAACTAAGTTTGCCAAATGAACACCACCATTATGTTTAATCCTTGGCTGGCCAGCTCGTTTACCTCTATATTTCAAAATACCATAATTTTTCAACAAAGATAACGTTTCTTCATTTGGTATAACATAGCTTCTAGGCACAGATCTACAATCCAATAATTGCTCTCTATTGTACTGTCTCACAGTCATTGTACATGGATTAGCCATGACTTCAGGTGATTTGGTGTTCACCAACACAATTGATATAATTATACTGTATATCCAATTTTTCCAATATTTGTTATTTTCAAACTTTTTCAATTCAAAATAACTCATAAATCCAAATATAAATCATAAAATCAATTTCTGTAACATGTTGGTTACAAGTTTATAGATGTCCCTGCCAAAAATCCAGACCCAAAAGCAGCTTGTTCAAGCGTAATAAATCAAAATTTGAAGAGCATAAAAATTGCAGCCTGCATATGGCGCACTATATAAACTTCAAAAGCATTAATATCCTTCTCTTTGTTGTATAGTAGGACATGGTTAACGAACAAATCCTCTGATTTTCAACTTTAATGATTTAACGTTTTGTATTTTACTTTTAATTTACTAGTAGTTTTTATTATCTGTTGTGTAAAAGCTTTTGGGGCGTCCGTGGTCGAGTGGTTAAGGTCGTTGACTTCAAACCACTTGCCCCTCACCGCTGTGGGTTCGAATCCCGACAGGGACTTTGGATTCTTTCATGTGAGGAAGCTATCCAGCTAGCTTACTGAACGTCGGTGGTTCTACTCAGGTGCCCGTTCGTGCCTGAAATAATGCACGGAAGGGCACCTGAGGTCTTCCTCCACCAGTAAAGCTGGAACGTCGCGATATGACCTATACTGTGTCGATGTGACGTAAACCCCAATCAAAACAAACAAACAATGTAAAAGCTTTTACTGTGTACCTACCTATCGTGACCAATAACTTTGTTTGGTGAATTTTGTGCTTAATCATATTTGGTCAAACTGTGTTTCAACCGGCATGTAAGCGAGTTTTATTCATACCTGTATGCTTACGTTCTTCTGCTCTCGAAAGAATTTTATTGTATTTCATGCTCCTTGTCCTTTTTCGTTAGGTTATAAGTTTACTGTAAATCTGGACATTTTTATGATAAGAAGTTGGGATGAGCTCCTGACAAAATTAAATACACGGTATGCGAAGATCATTACTGTAGTGGTTAATATGGAAATGTCTGTAAATTCCTACCGTTTGCTTTTAAAGGTTTGCAGCGAGAAAAAGCAAATGCATTGAATAAACATGCCTATGTTATTTTATTTAATGGATTAAACAGTTACAATAAAAAAGTTTGTGACTTTAATACCCTTTCTTATTAACTTTGACAAATCAAGAAACAAAGAGGAAGTCATCAAAAAAAGTTGTAATTAAGTCTTGTAACATTTGATTATGAATTACGCATTCCTTCTTGAGTTACAATTGCACAATTTCATTATATGTACTTCAGCTGAATTGCTATACTTAACTTTAAAATGGTACAACAAGTCTCGACGAAGTGTTGAAATACACATGCACTTCCTTTCGACAACTGATTTCATGAGTACTATTTGTATTGCATTGCATTGCTTTATTTATTATTAAATAAATACATGCACATATTCAGCAACAAACCATTGCTATTCTGACTCATGCACTCACAACATATTTGCTTGTTTTCCATGTGCATGGCATCATGAGCTAATGTATTGCCCTCGAACCGTCGGAATTATTTGTGTCGACGTCCCTGTTACTAAAATAGTTTCATTGTTTAAATTGCATTGTATGTTTTATTAATACTAGTGCAAAACATAGACGTTATCGTGATTTTAAGGTTTACGAGAAAAAAGCTTTTAAATAATACCAAAAGTGATCAGCCTCGGAAGGCTAATTATATCTAACTCAGACTCATTACTATCATGTGGTCACCCATTCTTACAATAAGTATAAAGATGATACTTTGTGTACAAATAAGGATAAATTGTATGGCTGTAATTGTCGCTTATAGTAGATATACAAAGTATTGAAACTTCATATTTGGATATTGCAGTTTTTATTTTATGAATGACCATGTAACTGTTAAAAAATTTTAAGGTATCTACATGAATAATTTCGTGCACGTCAAGTAGTGTCACCTCAGAGGGATTTTCTGTATCTGATTTGATAAACTGTTAAGTAAGGTATCTACATAAATTATTTCGTGCCTAAAAATATTTTTTGTTGCTTTTTTCTTCTTCAGAATGTCCTTATGTCTATCGTTAAAAGAGGAGAAAATGCATTTCTTATTCGAACATGCGGTGCATTGAGTGCTACAATCAAAATAATTTTCAATACAACCAACGTAGGCATAAAATGTGAACATTAGTTGTTTGACACAACGACTAAATAAAACATTCTTTATTATGATGATAGTAAATTGATATGTGAATGTAAATAATTTTGCAACAAAAAATGGGATATCAAATCAGAAAAAATATTTATACAGATTAAAAAAATAATATTTTATGAAATGCATGACAATATGACCAATTGTTGTTTACATATGCATTATAAAACTAGATGTTTAAGAGGGTCAAGTGCATTTTAAATCCTTAAAATAACGAATTGTGTGTCTGTGGTTTTCGCTTAGTTATCAGAAATATTCCAGTGCTGACCGAATTTGCACTTCCTTTAGCAATAAGCAAAAATTTCCTAAATTAATCTTTCTTTACCTTAGGCCAGTTGTGTACGAATTTGACATATCAACATGACATTTTGCAAGTTTTTATTTTTTTAACTGAGTGAGAATAAAATAGCATAACAGTTCTTTCTTTGTATATATAATAGCATTGTTATATTCCTCGGTATTGACGGAAGATTGAAAGCGTATATGTATAAGGAAGTGGTTAGGAACAAAAAGACTGATTACATCAAGGAAGTTCAGTTACGACAGAGAATTTTATAAAAGAAAGGAAAAAAATGATATCAAAATAATTTTGATCAGTTATGAGTAACTAACTGTAACATAGTCGATAACAAAAGTTTTAACATTAAATCTGACAAAATAAATTGCATTATGAATAAAAATGAATATTTACAAAATAATGTAATCAAAATGCAAATAACATTTTGTTTTAGAAAAAATCGAGTATGTTCCAGTCAGTCAGAAAAAAGTGATATTAAATTTAAAGTTATTGTTAACAGAGTGTTGGTAAATCGTTATATAGAAGAAACATACTTATAAAACACACTTCAATAATTATAACAAATATACACACAATAAACCGGCGAAACATTTGTTTTCAACCGGAAAAAACGTACCGAACCTTTATCAATAAGCTATTAAATAAGTTTATATATTTGATTAGTTTAACAACTTACGTTGTCTAACTGTGTTGCCTTAATTTTTTAATCGGTATAACTGTGTCCCTTCGTACGAATTCGAAAATATTAACCTATCACATGTAAACCACATAATAATGGACTTATGGAATTTTAAAAAATTATGACTAATTATTTTATATATGTAATAATACTTTTACAACTGAAGAATTATTGGGATGACATCATTATATCCCCGAAACAAAGTTTGTTTTTTTTTTGGGGGGGGGGGGGGGGGTATATGGTATATAGGAGCCACCCGGTGGTCGGTCGGTCCTTCAGTTGGTCGGTCGGTTGGTCGATCTGTGGGTCGGTCCAGTGGTTGTGGTGGAGATTCAGGTTTTACACCAACATTGAAGACAAACTTTTTATTTCTTTTTCAATAAACACTTTATTTTTAATTTCAAACCTTTTATAAACTTTATAGTTCTTATTTTAACTAAACATAACACACCGTGTATATTCCAATGACTGTAATGTCCGAATCTAACAAATGCTGTGAAAGGGCGTGTTTATATAGGCTAATTTACCGCCAAAATGTAACATTACAAGAAAAGCAAGAAAAGTGAGAAAGTGTGGCGTGGAGCAAAGCATAGAAGTATAATTTTCCCGCCTTTCTTATTTTTGGCGGGAAGTTATTATGTACAAAGACGAGGAGCAATAACATATAGCTCATTCATTGATAATAAAATAAAATAAACAAAATAATCGTGTATTTCACGACACTCCCAGCAAGGAGGCTAAGGTAACAAAAGATCGGTAACAACTAAGTAAAACATAAATTATATCAGTCTATTTACTATTCTGTGTACAACCAAATATCATTAGTCATATACTGTTCAGTATGTATTAGTTCATCTCCTCTATAGGTATACACTACTTCAGCTATTACTGATGTTATGACTCTTACTCTTCTTATGTTTTCTGGTATGTCAACATTTAAAATTTCAACATCATCATCGTTTGTCACACTAATTTCTTCTGTGGCGCTTGTACTTCCTGTTTCAGCTGTTCTACTATCATTTTCATCTTCTTCCAATTTGCTCTTCTGTCTCACTTTCTACCTCATCCATTTCTTCTCATATTCAAATGTATCTGTTTTTGTGCATTGTTTTTGTCATCTTCGTAATTTTTCTCATCTTTTCTTTTTTCATTTCTTTTCATATTATAACAGGTTTCACCAGTAACTTCCTCGTCGCTAGAAATACTTGAATAGAAAGTGTTATAAATTTCACCCATCTAATCATCTGGAGTAATTACAAATTC